TCGCGGTCTTCACCTCTACAAATCGCTCTATCAGCGTCACCATTCAATCCACAAGGCTTGGATGAAACCCGTTGTCAAGCCAAGACACATCGCCTTCCGCGCCCATGATCGCCACGTTGTCACTTGTCTCCAGTTCGATACGGAGAAGGTGCTTACTGGGAGCGATGACACGAACATCAATGTTTATGACACTAGGACTGGTGAGCTCAAGGCCACTCTTGAAGGCCATGAAGGTGGTGTATGGGCACTTGAGTATTATGGCAACACTTTGGTTTCTGGGTCTACCGACAGGTCGGTAAGAGTTTGGGACATCGAAAAGGCTCGGTGCACTCAAATATTTCATGGCCACACCTCTACCGTGCGCTGCCTGCAGATTGTCTTACCGGTCGAGGTGGGAAAGAAGGCGGATGGCACACCTGAGATGATGCCAAAGGAACCATTGATCATTACAGGCTCTCGTGACTCGAACCTTCGTGTCTGGAAACTTCCCAAACCAGGAGATCCGGGTTATTATCAGAGCGGACCTCATGTCGATGACACAGACTGCCCATACTTTGTCCGTGTCCTCACTGGGCATCAGCACTCTGTCCGGGCGATCGCAGCGCATGGTGACACGTTAGTGAGTGGAAGCTATGACTGCACCGTGCGTGTATGGAAAATATCCACAGGAGAGACTGTACATCGGCTTCAAGGTCATACTTTGAAGGTGTATAGTGTCGTTCTTGACCATAAGAGGAATCGTTGTATCAGTGGATCCATGGATAACATGGTCAAGGTGTGGTCATTGGAAACGGGTTCTATCTTGTACAATCTGGAAGGCCACACGTCCCTTGTTGGTCTGCTTGACCTCAAGTGTGATCGTCTAGTGTCGGCGGCTGCGGATTCTACGCTGAGGATCTGGGATCCTGAAACTGGGCAGTGCAGGAATATGCTGAGTGCTCACACTGGTGCAATCACTTGTTTCCAGCATGATGGCCAGAAGGTCATTTCTGGATCAGATCGGACACTGAAGATGTGGGATGTAAAAACCGGAGATTGTGTCCGGGACCTTCTCACCGACCTCAGTGGCGTGTGGCAGGTAAAGTTCAACGACCGGAGATGTGTCGCTGCAGTGCAGCGTGACAGCTTAACATACATTGAGGTAAGTTCAGTCTATCAAGCATTCAATTGCCATTCACTAAGAAATCTTAGGTCCTTGACTTTGGCGCTTCCCGCGATGGAGTACCAAGCGAACAGTTAGGAAGACGCATCGTCGTTAATAGATGGGGTCAGGAAGTCAGTGACACCGACGAAGATTACGACCTTTCGGACGCCTGAACATACTACGTCTGTCGCCGACTGCCTACTTCACTGCTTGGGCAGATGAAGGATTCTTGTGTCCTCTGCGACAGGCAACACGAACGGCAATTTCTCACGTTATATTCCCCCTTTTTCTTTTTCGCAACATATTCGAACCATGACATAACTACGATACCCCCAATCAATGGAACTATAATTACCTTTATGAGAGTTTGCATAGCGCGGTTAGCATCCCTTGACATGCTGCATCATGACGGACAGGCGTTTTGGCATTCAAAACGGACTCACCAATCAGCCTCTTGTCTAATAACTCTTCTCTCTTACCTCCTCGATCATACCACATCCGCATGCTCGATATGCATCCTTTTGTCCTCCTGTCCGCCTCTGTTTAACACGGGCGCTCCCGTCTCCGAGCTTCTACATATTCCGACTACCCCGTCTCTGTTTTATATCCGAATACTATAGACTTGAAGTGGCTTTATCTGCAATCGAATACGATATGATTCTTGTATTTACAATCCAGCTATCCTATTCTTCCGTAAGCATCTTCGTGCACGTGAGAAGAACCCTTGTCGAGCATCTTTAGCCTGGAAGCGCATGGCTCCGTCGTAAACATAGTCGAAGATGAGACTAGCTTTTCCGCTTTTCCTACTTGACCCCGCCCACCCCGGGAAGCGCGGTGTAAGGTGGCGCGGTCCTTAACAGTCCAAAAACCATGGTGCAGGCTGAGCGGTGTGATATCCTGGGCCCGGCTCGAGGTACGAGGCCGCACATATCGTGAATTATTCCACGGACCCAGTATTGCATCTCTATGTTGAATGATAACTACTCAGCATGTAAAGCAGTCTCAACATCCACTAGATAATCGCTGCAGCAACAGCGACATGAGACCAGCAGAGCCCCATCGCGCGATCCTTCTCGCAGCTAGCCAAGCTGGCCAGTCCATAAGGATCAGTGCGCACTATCAACGAACATTTCAGCAGCCAGAGAATGCACCAAAACCCCTCAAGGTCCAGCCCCAGAGGACATGCTCGACCCCGTCAGATCAGGTTGACCATGGCTAGACTTCACCTCCATCATCCCATCATAGCCAGCAGCAGACAAGATAGCCCAGCGAATGGGACTAATACCCAGATAATTTCCAGGAGTCCGGAGGACCTTCGAACTGCATGTCAGAATTTCGCCCAGAGCACCGGGACCTTCGTCTCGGCCAACAGGCTGGATGATAGGACGGAGCTCCTGTATCTTCTTCTGTGTCTGGAGCAGACGTTCCTCTGTTACTCCAGAGGCGAGTTGACTCGTCCTCGCCGCCATGATATTATCAACTTTCGAGACGATGATCTGGTGTGGGATGGCGTAGTGGCGGAACAATTCGAGTATGCCTTCGTCGGAGTGCTTGATGCCGTGCTGGCCGTCGATGAGGATGAAGGTGCGGCGGAGTCTATATGATTAGACAGTTTGTTAGCCTGTGTCGATGCCATATAAGCTTAGGATAAGATGTGCAATACTCACTGCTTCCTATTCTTCAAATACTTCATAATCTCATTCCCCCATTCCGATCGACTCCCCTTTCCGTATCCCGGCATATCAAGCAACACGACCTTCGACTCGCCGCCCTTTGTCCCTCCGATACCGAATGCGTTCATCGTCTGCGTGCGCCCTGGCTTCGATGACGTCCAGCATATCTCCTGCCCCATGAGGGCATTCAGCAATGAGCTTTTCCCGACATTCGACCGCCCTAGAAACGCTACTTCGGGGGTCGTCGAGGAGAGCGGCGTCGTGCGGAACTTGCTCAGGGTCCAGAGCTTGATTGGGGAGTGGCGCGAGGGAGCGAAGAATTTGTCTGCGTACGCTAATTGGCCTTCATCCGGTGCTTGTGTGTCCCAGTAGTAGTTCACTGCTGTGGCGGGGATGTCTTTGAACTGTAGTTTGTTGTTGGGCTGCGGCCGCGGTTGAGGTTGCGATTGCGGATTCGGAGGTTTGCTTGTCGAATAGTTGCGACGAATGGGGAGGATCTGCGCTTGGGGAAGGCAGAAGGGCCTTAATGAGAAGACTCGGTTCTTCATGATGTGCTGAGCGGCCGAGTTAGACGGAAGAGGTGCAATGATCGACTTGTAGTATTTGGATGGATTTCTCCAAATCAAAGAGCTTCTCCAGAAATTGTCCCCGGATAAGAAAGTCTTCCGAGCTGCGGTTCGAAGCTCGGGGAACCTTTGCCGAGTCTCCGCTCCAGGCCGATAAGGCAGTCTGAGAGACAGCTTCATCTATCGCTCATCATCGGTCATTATTCCCCCCCTTACACGGTCACTACTTTTACGTGCTGCTCTTTTCCACCAACTGGCTTGATCGCCTATCCTTACTTCATACTTAGGAGTCATCCTTCGATTTCTATCGCCCGCAGAACACGTCCAACACCGAGCTAGAATCACCCGTGCCCCGCGGACACTGCACCAAGATGATCAACGCCGTCCTCGTCTTTAATAACAACGGACAGCCCCGTTTAACCAAGTTCTACACACAGATCGTGAGTCTACACTCAATCGCATCTTCCCAACCAACCCACTCCTCACCCACCAAGCATCCCATACTAACAATGCCCAACCAACCAGGACACCCAAACCAAACAATCCCTAATCGCGCAAATCTACAACCTCGTCTCCCAACGCCCCGCCAGCGCCTGCAACTTCCTCCCCCTCCCACCACTTCTCTCCCGCGGCGCCAGCTCCGGCGCAGAAAACGGCCCCTCCGACGCCCCCACCCAAATCACCTACCGGAACTATGCCACCTTGTCGTTCATCATGATCTCCACGTCGACTGAGTCGCCGCTGGCGCTGATCGATCTGATCCAGGTCTTTGTGGAGGCGTTGGATCGCATGTTCGAGAACGTGTGCGAGCTGGATCTCATCTTCGGGTATGAGACTATGCATGCGGTGCTGAGTGAGATGATTGTTGGCGGTGTGGTGGTGGAGACGAATATTGATAAGATTGTGTCGGCGGTGAGGGATCAGGAGGGTAATTTGGGGAAGAAGAGGGCTATTCAGGCGGCTAGTTCGGGGATTGGGAGGACGGGGCTGCCTGGGTTGGGGGCTTGGAGGTGAGGTGAGCGTGAGTTGATGGGTCGGGGTATGTTACGATTAGGTTACGATATGGGTTGCTATTTTTGTTTGAATCATGTTTGGTTCGGTGGATGGCTGTTGGTGTGCTATATAGATGGATAGTGTCATGGATACCTGAGCATGAGTTTGGCGTTTCTAGTGGATGTATGTTGGGAATTAGATTTATAGATGTCCTTTGACCTAAATGACTATCGAGGATGTCTCGAGAACAGTACGACTAATAAGTGTGTTGCATGCTATGGACCCACTAAAGTAATAGAGAATCCATTAAATGAATGAGTGCGCATATCAACTGAATACTAGTAGACGACCATCATCAAAGTCTAGACTGCCATGCAAATACATGTAAGAGACATCCAACATGATTGGCCCATTCTGCTACATCAACCCCGAGGGCTAACCCTAGATCACCTGACCGAACCAACACCCAGCCCCGGCAAACAAGATAATCCGCCCGCGGCCCACACAAGCAAATGGCGCTAATGGATTTCTTCTCAGAGCGCGAAATTAATTGAACTTCTTCTTTTCTTCTTCTTCTTGACTGTCAATCCTGCACCCAACGCCGCCGCGGATCCCGTCGACAAAATGGTAAGCACATAGAATCGTCCATTTCACGCCTCTTCTATTCAATTAGAATTGAGCCTATCGACTATACGCTGCGAAACATGTCGTGAGACGAGAATTGCTTCCGTCTCGCTTCATATCGCAACATGTCGAGAAGCGACACAAATTTCCGTTGATTCGCTTCTCTTCTTCACAATCTGTAAAACGATTGCGGAGGAGGGTTGTGATCAGCGATGATTTTTGGCTGGAGGTTTTACACAAACTGCTCCCTCAGGGAAATCATGGAAACTTGATCTTTCTTTCTGGGACAGTTTGTGTATCCTCCCTAGAGTTCAAGGAAGATGCAGCAAGATGGTGGAACAAGATTGCTGATCTTCTTTTCTCAATGATAGCCTGCCCAGAAGTCCGGAAAGAAGACTGCTCCCCTCCCTTACCCCCAGGGTAAGGCTGGCGCTAAGAAGGCTCCCAAGGTAGGCACTCACCACTCCAAACCCTAACTAACTATGAAGGATACTAACATGGTATGAATAGAACCCTCTCATCGAGAAGCGCCCCCGCAACTTCGGCATTGGCCAGGACATCCAGCCCAAGCGCAACCTCGGCCGTTTCGTCAAGTGGCCCGAGTATGTCCGTCTTCAGCGCCAGAAGAAGATCTTGAACCTCCGTCTCAAGGTCCCTCCTTCCATTGCTCAGTTCCAGAACACCCTGGACCGCAACACCGCTGCCCAGACCTTCAAGTTCCTCAACAAGTACCGTCCCGAGACCAAGGTCGAGAAGAAGGAGCGTCTCCACGCCGAGGCCACCGCCGTCGCTGAGGGCAAGAAGAAGGAGGATGTCTCCAAGAAGCCCTACAACGTCAAGTACGGTCTTAACCACGTTGTCGGCCTCGTCGAGAACAAGAAGGCTTCCCTTGTCCTGATTGCTCACGACGTTGACCCCATTGAGCTGGTTGTCTTCCTGCCCGCTCTTTGCCGCAAGATGGGTGTCCCTTACGCTATTGTTAAGGGTAAGGCTCGTCTTGGAACTGTTGTTCACAAGAAGGTATGTCAATTCCATTACTCCTATATACTCTATTTTATATATTAGTAGTAGCAGACAACTAATATATGGTATTATAGACCTCCGCTGTCCTCGCTCTCACCGAGGTCCGCTCCGAGGACAAGGCCGAGTTCGCCAAGCTCCTCTCCGCCGTCAAGGAGGGCTACTCCGACAAGTACGAGGAGTCCCGCCGTCACTGGGGTGGTGGTATCATGGGCGCCAAGGCTGTTGCCCGCCAGGAGAAGAAGCGCAAGGCCGTTGAGGGTGCTATCCGTGTCTAAAAAGCTAGCTAGCCTAACCAGCGAGCTACTAACAACACCGACGGGATAAAAAAAATCTTATACCATCAACGAAACTTCTAATGACCCTTCTTCTTCATCCTATCCTATTTTCCTATACTCTTCATGTACACGTTGCAGATACCCATGAATGCTATTTCAGACATCAACAACAACCACAGCTCCGGTTTTGTTATCTTTTGTGTGTGTGTGTGTGTGAACTTTGTAGGAAGTTGTCTTGAGAGTTTGAGCATTCATGTGACGTCTGCAATATGTACATCTTAGTTGTAGATCGAAGTAAGTGGTAAAAGTCTTAGATCGATCGCTTGTGTTCATTCAGGTGGACTTAAGCAGAAAAGCCATGAAAATTTTATCTGGACTGATCTAGCCCTTTAATCCGGCCCCACAAAATTAACTGCCGATGCAGTGCAAGCCAACCATATCGATAGAGCAAACAAGTCATGACCCGTACAATACAGCATCACATTAAAACATGGTACAGAAAGGTTTGGTTGTCTATACATCAATCAAGTCATGTAATCACTCAAGCAAAAACAAGGTATGGCAATGGTATGGTATGATGGTATGGAGCAAAACACAAAGAAAAACACAAAATCAAATCAATGCACCCAGATGCCCCCCTTGAACCCATTTGTTTCCCAGTCCAGGCAAGAGAATGTCCGCGCACACCCCAATGTAATAAAACGCAAAAGCAATCCGAACTAGAGTGTATAGATGGTGGTAGTGGAAGAAGAATATTGACCGAAAGACCCGCCCAATGAGAAGATAAAAGAGACAATGAAGCTAACTCAGCGAAATGAGAATGAAGAACACTTCCGGGGAACAGGTAGGTGTAAAAGGAGGTGGAGAGTAGTCGTGTCATTCATTCATTCATCAGCGTTGAGAGGGTGGTCGTGTAAGCCCTTGCCTTGCCTGTTGCACTTCCAAGTCAGCAAATGTTTCGCCAGGAACAGATCAGGGAACCAGGTTATCGTTGATCCATACCTTCATTTGTTCGATTCTTGCCTTGAGTTGGCTGGTTACTTCCGCAGCTCTCTTCCAGCTCTCCGCTGGCTCGGCACTCCTGGCGGGTTGTTCTTCGCCAGAAGCACTGCCCGAGCCCAGTCCTGATGACCGAGTCGGACTTCCCAAGCCAGAGTAGCCGGTACCCAAGCTAGGACTGAGCTTGCGCCGACCAAGCCCTGCCTCTCTAGCGCTGAGTCCCGAGGATTCCAGGCCATTGTTCTCCTTCTCCTCACTCGGGCTAGCCGAAGCATAGGAGCGCGGCCGTGAGCTCTCGAATCGCGAGCCCATGAGACCAGCCCGTGACATCGGTGCACGGCCATCTTCTTGGTATACGGAGCCTGATTCGGACATAGGCATACCGATATTCTCCGGTAGGGTGTTGGGAGGGCTAATGGCACTAGCACGAAGAGCTCTTGCGAGCTCACGCTTCAGGCGCTCAATTTCCCGCTGCTGCTTTTGGACAGTCTGCTCCGCTGACTCTGCATCGCTTCGTGCGCGAACCAGTTGGGTTTCCTTGGCCTTGATACTCAGGACATCCCTTGTGTGGTCTTCAATTAGCTGCGCGTTCTGGTCTTGAAGCTCCATCACTTGCGAGTTCAGCTTGGTCCTCTCAGACCTCAGGTCCTCAACCATACGCATGAACCGCTCCTTCTCCGCACGTAGCTCATCCAACTCAGCTCGTTCCAGGGCCGAGATTCCGCTGAATTGAGGAGCTGCAGGAGCGGGCGCAGGCTCGCTAGGAGCCGCTGGTTTCGCAATCGGTCGGCCTGCAAGTCCTCTTCCCAGACCAAATTTGGGAGGTGCCGGTGCAGGCGGCTGCTCCTCCGTGGGAGGAGAGACAACCCGCCGCTGCGGAGATGCAATTCCTCCAGGGCCACCGAGCCTCTTCTTGAGACCGCCAGGAGCCGGCAGACCACCAGGTTTGGCGGGCCCTCCAAGCTTAGAAGCAACGGACCTTGCGGGCTTGGGTGACGGAGCAGCTACGGGTTCCTCGACAGGAGGCGCGGCAGCAGCCGGCCTCTTGGCTCCCAGTGCAGGCTTCTTCGCCACGACCTTCTTTCCAGGGGCAGGTTTCGGCGGTGCCACGATCGGCTTAGGTCTATCCTTTGCCTTGACCTCCGCTGTTTCGAAGAATTCCTTGATTTTGGTCTTCCTGATGTCGTCGAGACCGTCCAGATAGGGGTTCATCGCCCGCTCGCCCATGATCTTCATCAAGGTACCGAGAACTTCAGCTCCTCCGGCACGGTTGACCTCAGTAGATTCAGTAAGGAGTTTCGTGCCTGCCTCAGCTATCGACTTGACTTCCGGTTTCGCCGGAACATCTCTGGTTGTACGTAGGCAACGGATCAAGAACTTGAGTGTTTCCTGTTTGACTTGAGGGTTCTTGTGCTTGAGGAATTCGAGAATCTCCTCCAGGCACTCTGACAAGCTAGTCGCGATGAATACTGCATCCAAAGCTTGACCCAGGGCATCCGCCACACTCTGCTTCTTTTCCTTCAAGCGCTCCAGCATGGGCGACATGATGGTAGGCCGATACTTGACGAATCCACTGCGAATTCCCTTGGCAAGAAGTTCGATACAGTTGGCGGCAACGGTTACAACGGCGATGTTTGCATCCTTCATGGATTTAGCCAACATACGAATAACGTCATCGAACGGTCCATCCTTGATCCGGGGAACGTTCAATACAGTGTGCAGAGCGTCCAGGGCCTCTTTCCTATCCTTCCACTTCGAAGAAGAAAGCTGCTCCTGGAAGTTACCTGGGATCTTGGAGAAGACATCAACGGGCTCGGCCAGGTCGAAAGCATCGACCTCTCCTTCATCTTCCTCTGCCGGGTATTCCTCACCTCCTTCAAACTCATCGTCATCACCCTCTGGCGCAGCGCTGGCTGCGGCCATGGCATCTTGCTGTGCCCTCGTGAACCTCTCCTGCTTGGGCGCCGGCTCTTGCTTGACATTTTCAAACAGCTTCTCCAAATCCTGTTGCTGTACGGGCTTGAGTTCGTTCCAGAAAAGCGGTTTGATGGCTTCCTTCAGCCAGCGGTAGAGCTCCACAGTGAGGTTCTGCGCTTCCGCACGGACATTCTTGTCGGCATGGCCGAAAACCTTTGGCAAGGCCTTCAACACAGGCTTGGGGTCAACAATCTTGCAACCGAAGTTGTGATAAATTGCTCTCAATCCTGCCAGCGCAGCGGCAATAACCTTGGGGACTTTGTGTGACAGAGCGGGGAGCATTTCTTCGATGACGGGATCCGATTTATCCAGCTCAACACATAATAACAGGGCTTCGATCGCATTCGTTTTGGCAGCGGGTCGCGTGGATGGGAGACCCTTTTCACATATCGGGAAGACGGTAGTTGCTCGGGTCCTTCACCACACATGTTAGCCATCAACCACCATGAATTGTTCAAACAGCATCAATATTCCGTGAAACATACCTTGTACAAGCCTGAACACCACCGAATTTCAAGAATGCGCAATAAGATCCAAGACCCTCTTGTTGAGCCGCGACATTGGAGTCTGCCACAGCCCCTTTCCACAAGCCGGGATCTTGTATGAATGGCGTGAAAACGGGATCCGACTCATCAGGCGACTTCTCAAATTGTTGTTTCGCATCCTCATATCCATTCTTGCGGGCTTTCCAGTTCTAATCCGAGAGCACAGACATGTCAGTATTCAGATATATAATAACAACCCCGCGAACCCTAAACATGGGGAACCGGGAGCAAAACAGCGACAAACTAACCTTGTGCGAGAACCGATCCGTCAATGGCAAGGAAGAGAAATCCTCCTCCTCGGCCATATTGAATATCTAAAAATAAGTCTGCAGATTGGCAATCAGTCAGCATCGAACTTCGATTCGGTTAATTCGCAAGCGTGCAGTCCAATCACTGAAGTGGCTTATAACTTGAAACCCCAAATAGCGACGGACCTTATCGCTAACAACTGAAATAAAGCACCCACACAAACACGCACACACACCTTGGGGTTTATTCGTAGTAGCGTATATTCCGATCGCAGATCTCGTGCACGGGCGGCGGCGGCGGCGGAAAGTTGACTGACAGAAAGGTTGGTTCTGATTGAGAGGGGCTTTTTGCTTCGGGTTAGGTTCGCCGGATGAATAAAGGAACTAGTTTTCGAGAAAAGGATGGCGTGTCGAAAATAGGGGGGGTGACAGCGCGACGTCAGGGGGGAAGAAGAAAAAAGGTTTAATGGAGGCGGAAGTGGGGGGAGAAATTGATGAAGTCAACAAGAAAGTTGAAAGAGGAGAGAGAAAAGGGAAGCTGGAAAGTAAACAACGGATCAAGAGTCGCTGGGGTGACTTTCGCGACCCAATGGAAAAGGCTTGGCTTGGCGGCGAACCAACTTTCGAGTACTGACTGCCCGTTCAGGTACCAATTTGGGTGGGGGATTTATATAGTTATTGGGAGGGTATGTAGTAGTAGATATATGGAAAAGATAGATTATATATTATGTATATTTTGAGTTTGGTGAATGCTGGTTCTTTCCATGTTGTTGGTTTTAGTTGTTTCACTGTTCGTGCATGTCGTCTCCTGTGATGTAGGAGTACTTGGGAGTACATCTGCAGGCATATATTTACTGTGTGGAGGTGAGGTCACTTTCATGTCGTTTTGACAGACATGTTCCGGAGAACAGTATTTAATACATCTTGTAAATACTGATGATACCTATCAAAGTAACCAGTAAAATATCATACTACAGGATAATGTACATTCGAGTCTATACTCAACCCCGCAAGTAAAATGATAGTCACGTGATCGTTCTTCAAAACAGTGCATGCATTTCACCTGGATTATTCCTTCTATATCATAGAATTAAATGTCATGGCCCGGTTATTTCCTGCTTCTTCAATTGCCTACATGTATGTGGCATGAGTCAGTAGTCTAGACTAATTGAGGTTGGATGTCGCTGTATATCGTGCAGTGGGAACTACCGGATATCGTACTAAGAACATTACTGTGTATTCCCCAGTAGATGAGTGCAGTAAATGTATTACCATGCACAAAGGGTAATAGTGCCTTGCTACAGGATTGCACATTTGATATATGCCCTCAGACCCTAGTGATATCCAGCCCAGCTACACATCTACACACAACCAACCAACCCAACAGCCAATCCAAGACAAAAGCACAATATGCCATGAAAAAGTAAATAGCTAGTAATATACAGACACACAATGTTTACATACAACATATTGGAACAGATAAGAGATAAAAGGAAACCAACCCCACAACAACCATACCAACCCATCTATCTAACCTCTCATCTCTAACCCCCCTCTCGTCCTCCATTCCTCAATCAAATCCACTCACTCAAATCAAACACAACCTAAACCTCAACCCCTCCAGTCCTCTCAAGCACCAACCTCCTAATCCTCCCAACATGCTCCCCACCCTTCCCCTCACTCTCAGACACACCAGCCTCGGCCCTCCTCGCCTCTCTACGCTCCCACTTAGCAGCCCTCTTAGCCGCACGCTCAGCATCCCTCTCCTCACGAGTCAAAACAGCCGGTCTATCCTCAATAGCGGATCCAAACGGCGCAATGATTCTCTCCACAACGTGGCGCACATTCCGGCTCTTCGGGTAGCCGGACGAGAACTCAATGACGTCGCCCTCGCGCAGCGAGTTCCGCGGATCCGACACCAGGTAGTTCGTTATCTTGGGGTAGGGCTTCTGGATGTGTGCGTCCCAGATGGTGTGGCGGTGGCTGACGCGGACGGTGCGGTCCATGCGGCCGACGGAGACGACGGTGCCGGTCTTGGTCTTGTAGGGGTAGCTGCGGAGGGAGGGGGGGACGGCGGCGGTGGTGGTAGTAGTAGTGGAAGAAGATAGGTCGGCTTCTTGTTGTTGTGGTTGTTGTTGCTGTTGCTCGTTGAGTCGGGGGACGGTGGTCGTGAGGGAGCGCAGGGTGGTCTGGTATAGAGAGGGCGCTGTTGTGGAGGAAGTAGTGGTGGTGGAGCGCATCATGGAGGAGCGCAGGGGCTGAAGAGCCCGGAGGAAATTGGCGGGACGCATTGTGGTGGTGTATATGAAGGACCGAATGCTCCTTTGGTTGTAGAGATGGTGCTGGGGAGGAAGCACGGCCAGGTCAATCCGCTTGGACGGGAGTTTTTGTAGACGTTGCGGCGGTGCCGGGCACGGGGTACGACAGGAATTATCGGCCTTTGGAATCCTCCGAGAAAACTTGAGAGTCTATCCGCTCAGCGAGATAGCAATTAATTGGCGATTGACCCTGTTGAGCACGATGGGGCTTGCTGCGAGGCTTGCTGTCCAGGCCGGAGGAGCATCGCGGCCGCGGACGAGTTCGCCGAGAATTTCTGAAATCTCGGGCATGTTTGCATATTTTGCATCCCATTCTTCTCCACGCTTCCTCCGCAGGGTGTCTGCACAAATGCAAACCTCTAAGCATAACAAGTAAATGATGGTCATTAATGAATGCAATATTTGGTGTGTAACTATGTGTTTATATGTAACATGAAATGGACCGCCCACTATTTTAGGCCACTGAAATCCTAATAACACCGACGCCCAACGCATATTGTAGAGTAGAGAGGGACCAATGGCCGAGGGATCGCGATATGCTCCCATGTACACAGAAAAAACCAAACGCTCCGATGTCTGTTGCCCAACCATACCCTGGAATTAAGGCCAGAACACAGTGTTCACTCTTGTAATATTCCATACGCGAAACCGAGATGTAAAACTGTAGGAAGAAGCCCTTCGCCACGCCTTGTGCTCATATACCAGTAAAATAGACGTCTTAAATCAATCATTCACGCATCGCCATATTCAATGGATCTTCGGCCGTAAACAATCATACAAAGCGGGGGCACCAAGCTCACTGTGCCACTTGCTCCTGGTCCGGGGTATCTACACCGTTAGAACGTTCTCCGTTCTCGGAGTTGTTGTCGCTGAAAGAAGCCTTCTTAGCATGGAACTTCTCCGCCGAATGCTCCGAGATGCGAGTCAGTTCGGTCACGAAGGACTGGCCCCAGAAAGCACTAGAAACATGGTCAGTGTCAAAGCTCCTCGTCATCTCAGGTATGATCGAACCTTGTATATTTATTGACATATTTGTCGAGCTTGGAGAAGTTGAGGGCCCTCTGCTCGTCGCTCATGGTTACCGCTTCCTGATAAGCACCCGCCAGCTCTTCGGTGTTCCAGGGGTTGATAATGATACTGCCGTTCAGGCTCTGAGCGGCACCCGCGAACTCGGAAAGCACCAAGACACCATGACGCTTCTTCTGTGTGGCGATGTACTCATAGGCAACGAGGTTCATTCCGTCGCGGGTCGACGAAACAATGCAGGCGTCGGAAACCGCGTACAGAGCAATTAGCTCGTCAAAGTTGACAGACTTGTGCAGGAAGTGGATAGGCATGAATTCAACGGTGCCTGATCATCCGTCAAGTCAGCGATAGGGTCTCTTTCAGAGGCAACGCGAAACCTACCAAATTTGCCGTTAATCCGGCCCACCAACTCATTAACAACAGCTCTCAAGTTCTGGTATTCTTCCACATCTTGTCGACTAGGAACAGCAACCTGGACCAGGACAACCTTGCCAACCCACTCCGGATGATCGCTAAGGAACACCTCAAGGGCATGCAATTTTTGGGGGACACCCTTGATGTAATCCAAGCGGTCCACACCCACCATGAGTTTCACGCCCTGGAACTTTTGTTCCAGCATCGCAATGCGTTTCTGGACCTTCTCCTTCTTCAACCCCTCTTCAAACTTCTCCGGGTCGATGCCGATAGGGAAGGCACCGCAGGCAATGATCTTGCCCTGGAACTCAATCCCATTAGGTGTAGTTGTTAAGCCCCTAGGTATCCATGATATTAGCACCTCCATTGCCTTTGAAGAGGATGTAGTCAATCCAATACATACAAGAGTCGCGAGCAAGCACTCAAAAAGTGTCTAGTGTAGTCGTAGGTATGGAACCCGATCAGGTCGCAATGCAGAACACCGAGCAACAACTCGTTCCGCACTGGGAGGATTCTGTAGATTTCGCTGCTAGGGAAGGGCGTGTGGAGGAAGAAGCCAATCTTGACATTTTCCTTGCTCTGGCCGATCTCCTCGCGCAGCATCTCGGGAAGGAGCATCAAGTGATAATCATGCACCCAGATCAAGTCGCCATCTTGAACTTCCTTCGCAACCGCTTTGGCGAAGAGACGGTTGGCCTCCTTGTATGCCTCCCAGGCGGACTCGTCAAAGGTAATCTCACCGGGATGGTAATGGAAGAGGGGCCAGAGAATAGAGTCTGTGAGCAGTGGGCATCTGTCAGCAAGCAAGCGCCTTCAGCCGGGATCAATGAGGGAGCAACCATCACAGATCCTCAGTACGATAAGGAGATTGATAATACTAACTAGAGAAGCCATTGTAGTGACGATCTGCCAGCTCGTCATCAATGAACACTGGCACAGCGTTATACTCCTGCTTCAGGCGTTGCTTCACAACGGGAATCTCCTCCTCCGGGACCTCCAAACCGGGCCAGCCGTACCATTGGAAGGTCGTGGACTTGGACAGGCCACTCAATCCGCTGACCAGGCCACCGGAGGACATGGAGAAGTCATAGCGACCATCATCCGATCGCTTGATGGTGATTGGAAGCCGATTGGAGACGAGGAGCAACCGAGCCTCACTCTGGAAGGTGGGGTTCTCAAGGGAAGGCATGCTGTCGGAATTGGCGGGGCACCGACGCAGATAGTCAGATGTAAGTATGTACAAATGTACTAAGTAGTTAGACCGAGTAAGCGACCAATGAGGGTCTGAATTGAGGACAAAGGACGAGACTGGCTTATCAAAGAAGACGCCAGGGACGAGGAAATAAGAGTAGACGGAGGCGGGGCTCTGGGGTCGTAAGCTGCAGAGACGGTAGTTATCGGATTATAATCTTTGAGCCTTGTTGGTCTTCAGTGAAGAACCAGGAAGAAGGAAAAAGCCGGGTGGTAGTCAGTTTTGGACCACTGTTCACCAATTGAATGAAGCCGAGTGAACCCAGGCACCGAGCAAGAAAGCTTAGGGATAACAAAGAGGGATCGAGTGAAGGTTAAGTTAGGAGTCAAGAAAAAGAAGAGGAAGAAAAGGAAGGTCACGGATGGCGACCTGGAATGCCTTGAAGCCAAGAAGCTGGTGCTTTTTGGTGCTTGGTGCTTCCTGATACTGGGAAGCAGCTTAAAGGCGGCGGGGAAGAATTGAGGGAGTGACCTCACTTTAGAGACCGGCGCGCGGACCAAGTGACCCAGGTTTGGGCCGAAGAAGAACCAAGAGCAGTAGTGCCGGGAGTCCACCTAGAGCTCCTCACTAGCAAGTTCATCGACAGGGAAAAAGCAGTGAGAAGGAAGACGGAGTGGGCCAGCGAGCAAGCAAGAGTCAGTTTTGTTATTCCGGAATGTTGCAAGTGTAGGTTGGATAAATGACACACTCTGACAGGCTGCTTGTGACTCCCTTCTTTTTATTTTTGTCTCCTTTCAAATATTTTTTGAGGGACTCTCCTTTACAGCCTATCGCTTTCACAGGAAAGAGATGACGAGAAGTGGGGGGAAGAAAAAAAAAAAGTGGTGTGGTGGAAAGATGAGTTGGGGAAAGAATATTGGGGGGGAGGGAACAAGGGGACAAGAGTAGTAGTTCCGACGAAGTGGGCGATGAAGTCAGAGATGACCAGCGGTCGCAATGGATGCGGGAATCTGGCCAGCCACTCACACTCGTCCTTGGCTTTGGATGATGCCAACACTTCCAGTTTCCCCTCAACAAGGGAAATCTACGATAAGTTACTGAGGTACTACTTCCTCGTTTCAGGTCCTACCCAGATCAAATGGCCTGATGACGGTTCAACGTTGTAATGTCACCCCAGCAGTAATAAAGGCTACTATCTTTAACCCTGATCAGTGGTATAGAATCCAACCTGACTACTTCACTCTCACTTGGTCCATCTACAAAGTAACATGCTGGGTGGCGTGGGGAGAAAAGCAAGTCATCTGCATACTTTTGATGAATGTTGATCCCCGCAAAGGTACGAACAAACACGAGCATTGCAGGATTTCACTCACTCACTCACTCACTCACACTATCTCCCTTCTTGTTAACCTTTCTTCCCTTCTTGCTGCCCGAGAGGCGCTTTCGATCGGGTGGTGAAATCAATACCCCGCTGTTATGGACGGGTCTGGACTCTCTATACTACTTTGATCCCAACATTAATGGATTCACTGACTCTGTATATCTTGATGCTTCTGAAACTCACTACGTCTTATGATAACAGCCACATTCCTTAGTGTAGACAAAAGGACTGACTGAATACTGTCTGGTGGTGAGGTAACTGCTATGCAGTTCAGTTGATCATTTTTACTTAATGGCATTCCATGGCACACTCGATGCATAGACTTACAAACAAAAATCGTATGTTTGACTTAATTCGCGAGAGAACTTCCTTGTCAGATAAGATCAGTGCGCAGGATGCAAGTCAGTAAGTAGTTTTGGTAGCTCAAGTTCTGATGTGGGGACATAACCAGAAAACATTTCCCACCCATTATCTCTCTCTACCTGGTACTCGGATCTCGCTGCTCCCCAAGCTTAACTGGACGATAAGAGTCTCGATAGTCATAATGAAGTCGGTCTCAACCAATCACTACTAGTTACAGAGGCTCCATTCCGTTCCTCCATGGGAACTATATGGCATCATAACTAGCCTATCTATGTTTCTTTGTTGCTTCTGTCTTGGTTAATCTGAGACAAGCTGTTCTCGATACTCTTACTACATTCGGTGCCATTTCTTGTTGTGTGGTAAGACTGATGCGATGGAATCAGACCGCTAGTTGACAAGGTTATTATCGCTGAAGGAAGGGGGAGTGGATTTGTTAAAAGCTTCACTAGTACAATGATGTGACGATCTATGTTCTTCTCGTTGATGGGCACGATATATCTATACTGTACGGCAGTAGAAGCATGCAAGGGATAATGGTTGTGAATGGCAGGAATATCAGCATATGTCTATGATTAGGTGAATATGCACGCACTGCACGGCGGTCACAGGCATCTTCTTGCATCGGTGAGCGGCTAACATCGGATCCCTAATAACATATGCTATATAATCCCGAAACAAAGATCTACTGATATATCTACTATGATAATAACTCAACAACCCAGCCCTTCTCGTAATATCTCAAAGCGCAGATCGTCCAGTTTCCAGAACCCATCGCCCATCAGCATCTCGGCTTACCCGGCCTTCGTCCTCTAATTTCTTCAGAACAAGCAACACTCCATTAGATGCAGGCAGATGAAGGCTTTCCGGCACATCTTTGTAAATCACCTTGACTAGTTCCAGTGGGGTCCAGGACCGTTTACGCTCCGGCGATGCTTCCCCATCTGCGACATCGAGGTGATTATATCGGAGAACGCGAACCACTTCATCCTCTCGCTGTTGGCGGTGCTTGATGTACTCTGTGATCTTTGCTGTCGCATTCTCGATAACAGCTCCGTGGCCAGGATAGCCGCGACCCGAAACCCGGTTCTGCATTCGCTTTAGGCTAGATATATAGGACGAAAGGTCCTCAAAGACACTCGTGCCATGGCCCAAGACATCTGACAAGCGCAGTTAGCCATGAGGCAGGAAGTAGAAATTGCCATAATACTCACGATCGCCCGTAAAGACTGAATCCTCTTCTTCAAGAACAAACATCATATGGTCCACCGTATGACCCGGGGTATGGTATGCTCGTAGTGTTGCACCTTCAACACTGAAGATCTGACCGTCTTCAATGCTCTCTTGGCCGAGGTCTGGATCATTCTTGTAGATGATAGCGTCCGGACATAATGCTAAGAGGTCAGGAACGCCTTTGACATGGTCTGGATGCCAATGCGTGAGGAGCGCCTGATGCACAGTTGCATTCTCTTCTGCCAAAAGAGACTTAAGCCGAGCTGCCCAGGAGGGTTCACCCTGACCGGTGTCAATGAGGATGCGTTGACGACCTCGCCCGATTAGATACGTATTCGTGCCTGTTGGAAATTCGGTTAGGATGACACGCCTGTACCGCTAAAAGTGTGTGTGAGAGAACAAACCTTGCAGAGTGAACTATAAGAAAGGTATATTAGTTTCTATGTCCACCAAGACCGGCGTGTTATCTCAACATTGACTCACCTTGCCGGGATTGCCCCCCAATATCCGTACGACCGAGGCGCTGAGCCTCTCCACCTCCGCCAGAGAGACTAGCTGGGTAGCCATGTCTCCAGCATATACCACACTTCAGTGCGATTGATCTGCGACTGCCAGACACCAACTCGCATTAGCCATCTGCGCTACGTCGGATACTTTGGTTGGGTCCAGGAGCAAGCATTGACTCTAGAAATTGCGCAGGATATAGGCATACTTACAAGTATTTTCCCCTACCACAGAGGCAACCGAGCAATCACTTGAAGTATGTACTATTGTCGGTCAATATCGTAGCCTTCTATATAGGATTTAGTACTCAGCAGGATGATCAGAGTAAGAATAGGAAATCATTAGAGACTCACGAGCAATTAGGCCAGTGGGTCAGCTGTACTCAGTCACGTGGGGTATCCAGAGAAGAAAGAGGCCGACAGTGATATTCTTTCAATCTTGGATGCAGCTGAGAGATTGTGAGCAGAGAGGAGCAGATACTATGAGTCTACTCTATCTGAACACTCCTTATCATGATGGATCGGCTATACTATCAGAGTCACGTTTCCGAGGCGGGGTGAACAGCCGTGTAGGCCTCGGCTGAGAAAGGAACTTAGTTATGTCAGCACCAATGAAGTCAGGCCTATTTGCAGCAAGTCGCAAAATCGGGCAAATTGTAACATATGTATGTCCGAATACGCCATTGGAGGTGTAGTGACCGTTCTGCTCACCGGGAGTACTACAGCAAACTGATTACAACGTCTACGGGCAAGATCCATCTTGGAACAGAAGGAAATGTGGTATGCACGCAAGCCCTAACATACAGTGTATGATATAAAACAAAAACAAAGATATATCCATGTAGTCCACCGGAAAATCACAGGGGTACAAAAGAAAACAGGCCCAGAGCGGCAACAGAAACAAATCGTTAAATTTTTCGAAAGACGACGCCGGATATTCCCATCATAGAGGTACCATAGGCAGCCGCTTTCGCGTCCAATGCAGTTGTTTGGCATCAGAGCAGACTGCCATGGCGCGAGGGTAGGATAACCAAACCCCGCAAGCAGATCTTTCAGGTATCATATCTTTTCGCAACAAACAGAAAACAGCGATCATAATATACAGACGGGCCTATGAGGCCCATGTCATGCATGTTGGCAATCGCCATTAGATTTAGTTACCAGCCTTGCGGGCCATGGTGTTGAGGGCGGAACCATCGCGGAACCACTCAATCTGGGACTCGTTGAAGGTGTGGCTGAGCTTGACGTCGAAGGAGGCACCGTCCTTGGGGTGGACACGCAGAGTGACGGGCTTGCCAACCTCGAGCTCAGTGCAGAGGAGGTCGACCTTGTCCTCGGGCTTGATCTTGTCGTAGTCGGCGGGGTCGGAGAAGGTAAGAGGAAGCATACCCTGCTTCTTCAGGTTGGTCTCGTGCTAAAGGAAGATGTTAGTTCGCGTTCAGATTTTTTTGATAGTAAAGAACGGATAGCACTTACGATACGAGCGAAGGAGCGGGTGATGATGGCAAGACCACCAAGGTGGCGGGGCTCCAGAGCGGCGTGCTCACGGGAAGAACCCTCACCGTAGTTCCAGTCACCGATGACAACCCACTTGATGCCACGGGCCTTGTAGTCACGGGCAGTGGCGGGGACAGCATCGTACTCGCCGGTGAAGGCGTTCTTGACCTTGTTGGCCTCACCGTTCTCGGCGTTGATGGCACCGATCAGCATGTTGTTGGAGATGTTGTCAAGGTGACCACGGTACTTCAACCACGGGCCAGCCATGGAGATGTGATCGGTGGTAGTCTTGCCCTGGCACTTGATCAGGATAGGGATGTCAGTGGCATCCTTGCCATCCCACTTCTCGAAACCAGCAAGGATCTGGAGACGGTCACTGGAAGGAGAGACAGCGACGTCGACGCCGTCGCGGTTGGTGGGGGGAGCCTGGTAGGTGTCACGGCCGGGGTCGTAGCCCTGAGCAGGGAGACCCTCACCGGTGGGAGGCTTGAGCAAGAACTCCTTGCCGTCCTTGTCCTTCAGCTTGTCGGTGAGAGGGTTGAACTTGAGGGTACCGGCAACGGTCATGGCGACGACAAGGTCGGGAGAGGCGACGAAAGCGTGGGTGGCGGGGTTGGCATCGTTACGACCGGTGAAGTTACGGTTGTAGGAGGAGATGATAGAGTTGGGCTCACCCTTCTTGACGTCCTTACGATCCCACTGTCCAATGCAAGGACCGCAGGCGTTGGCAAGGATGACACCACCGTACTCCTCGAGGGTCTTGAGCTGACCATCGCGCTCAATGGTAGCGCGGATCTGCTCGGAACCGGGGGTGACGGTGAAGAGAGACTTGGACTTGAGACCGTGGTCAAGGGCGTCCTGAGCAATGGAGGCGGCACGGGACATGTCCTCGTAGGAGGAGTTGGTGCAAGAGCCGATAAGACCGACCTTCAGCTCCTCGGGCCACTTGTTGGCATCAACGGCCTCCTTGAACTTGGAGATGGGGGTGGCCAAGTCAGGAGTGAAGGGACCGTTAACGTGGGGCTCGAGCTCAGACAGGTTGATCTCGATCAGCTGGTCGTACTCAGCACCCTCATCCTCGCGGAGCTCCTTGGCGTACTCGCGGGAGAAGTTACCAATGTGCTGACGCTTGGTGGCCTTCAGGTAGTCGTACATGCGGTCGTTGAAGGGGAACATGGAGGTGGTGGCACCAATCTCAGCACCCATGTTACAGATGGTGGCCATACCAGTGCAGGACAGGGAGTTGACACCAGGTCCGTGGTACTCGATGATAGCGCCAGTACCACCCTTGACGGTGAGGAGACCAGCAACCTTGAGGATGATATCTAAATTTTACTGTTAACGCTCGTCCGATTGTGCAAGACACATTAGAAATCAACTTACCCTTAGGAGTAGTCCAGCCAGACATCTGGCCAGTGAGCTTAACACCGATGACCTTAGGGGCCTTCAGCTCCCAAGGGAGACCGGCCATAACGTCGACGGCATCAGCACCACCAACACCAATGGCAGCAGTGGCGAGACCACCAGCGTTAGGGGTGTGAGAGTCGGTACCGATCATCAGACCACCGGGGAAAGCGTAGTTCTCCAGAACGATCTGGTGGATGATACCGGAACCGGGCTTCCAGAAACCGATGTTGTACTTGGCAGTAGCGGAGGCAAGGAAGTCGTAGACTTCCTTGTTGATGTCGTTGGCACGAGCAAGATCCTTGTCGCCACCGACCTGGGCCTCAATCAAGTGGTCACAGTGGACGGTAGTGGGAGTAGCGACGGAGGGCATGCCAGCGGACATGAACTGGAGGATAGCCATCTGGGCAGTGGCATCCTGGCAAGCGACACGGTCGGGGCGAAGCTTGAGGTAGGAGCTGCCACGCTCAATCTCTTGTCCGTGGGGGTCGTCAAGGTGAGAGTACAGAACCTTCTCGGCGTATGTGAGAGGACGGCTCAGACGACGACGAACGATGTCGAGGTTCTCGGACATCTTCCTGTAGAAGTGGTAGTCATATTAGCTTACAGCTCATTGGCCTGAGAAGACGCGATTGAGAGATCGCGCCCGATTCTCCAAAGAATCAAGAGTGCTATCATACTTGTAGTTGATGTAGTTACCCTACACAGGCATTGTTAGCGGATCATATTCCCAAATCTGGCGCCCGCACTACCCGAAGCCAGCCGAGACGTAATGGAAAGTTTCACTCACCTTCTCCAGGTTGGTCATCTCGACCTTCTTGTCGAGGGGAGAGTCGGTGACGGTGGCCATACCCCGAGCCCCGAGCATCTGCACATTTGATTAGTATTTCTATTCATCGAACCATCGCACTTCCGCTGTAATTTGGTGATGCGAGCTTGAACTGGATTGCGGGTAAACGCTTACAAGGCGGGACTTAGGGGCCTAGAGAGCAGATCTGATTAGTTTCCATTGAGCTACACAGACGCCCAGCTAGATGCATTTCATTCCTGGACAGAATGCCATGACTTCTTCGCCAGACGGGGGACAACGTGTCTGGAATGGACTTACCAGCGCACCCATGCGCGCAAGCCTTGTGGTAATCATGGTGGAAGCTCTCTATGAGGTGGGCAGGGCCGCAACACAGGAGAGCCAATCCAAACAACAGCAAAAGCTAGCTTCGACGAGAGGAAGCAGCAAAAGATGGAGTGGAGTGGGAAAAGAAGAGGAAAGGAAAGGGATAAAGGAAGAAAGGGAAAATGGAGTAGATAAAAAGGAAGCTTGAGTGGGAAAGAATTCTTGTTTCCACCACCGAGAGCGATTTACTGAACCGGAGAAGAGGACCCGTAACCGCTCCTGACAGTACCGACCTTTACGCAAGCGTTGCATGCGACCGGAGAGAAGGAAGGTGGCTGGACCATCCGTGGGACCCCTTTCTTACCGTATGGATACGGATACACCTGTAATTTCCGTTTGGCCTGCAGACCTCGCTCCCTCCTTTCTGACCACTCCGTAAATGAAAAAAACTAAGAAGGACCCATAATGGCTTTACCCGGTCAACGTAAGGTTGCCTTTGGATTCGAAAAGGCCTCACTGTCAGTGGTTTTGCTCCTTTCAGCTGACCCTCAAAAAGCATAGTTTGATCTACTAGGTATTATTATCTCCCCCATGCATTCTCCCCCATGGACTGCCACGAACTAGTGTCTTACCTAGGTAAAACCTAACTTCACTACTGCTGTGTTCATACCTTGTAATTCCGACCAGCCTGTGCGGCGGCGTGCACAGGGCATGTGAGGCACATAGTCCAATCATGTGCCCTGTATTACATCCATTCATCCTGGGGGAACATCATCGACGTCACTCACTTCTACTACATCCTAGCTTAAAGCTTCATCAAGACTTGCAAGCACAGGTCAAAAAAATTATTTGGAAAATTTACATCAATGAGAATGAGATAATATGACAGATTCTACGCGCCCAACCTCGTAAGTAATGCCAGACCGCTTGAATGAGTTGGGTTGCTTAGGAGACATGGAGGCAGTTAGCGTATTATTTCACCTGGATCGCAACTGGACGAGATGCTTTCCGGAGCAACGTGCCGGAACATGGCAACGTCATAAATTACGAGACACCGGGGAAATGGCCGTACGGAAGCGACCAAAAGCGCTGACAGAGCCGAGTCAGAGCCGAGGCCTACCGATGGGAATCCCGCGGCCCGCCGCCAAGACCCAGCTGATTTTGACCAATAATGAGCAACATGTTTCAGGAAATTCTTCTTTCGCACACAAAGGCGGAATTTTGGTGATAAGCGACCCGCTCTTGCACCGCCTAAAGTCTTAGTTTCATTCCGTATATCGGTGGAAAAACACTTTGCGACAGCTCACTAGCAAATCCATCAGGCAGTTCTTTTTTTGGGCCGCAGTCTATCAAAATGGGAGCTGTTAGGAAAATTAAGACGAAGCGCAGGACCAGGTATGTAGGCTAATTTCTGAATGATCACTATCATGAGGGTTCAAGTTGGAAGGGCTGCGTAAAGCTGAATAGACTGCTAATGATCTGATAAAATCGATAGAGATTATGATCAGGTCCGGGCTGATATCGCGTCCGCGAGACACCTCGAACTATACAAAGCTACGAAAGACGAAGAGGACCTTCCCGGCCTAGGAAAGCATTATTGCGTCGAGTGCTCCAAATGGTTTGAGAGCGAGCATAATATGGCCGCCCATACGAAGGGCAAGAACCACAAGAGAAGGTGTGTGGCCAACATATCTACGATGTCGCGGCCTCGGTCGCAAATACTTTTTGGACACATAAATGCTGACCTATGCGCCTGTTATTAGACTCCGCATCTTGCGCGAAGAGGCACACACACAGAAGGCTGCTGAGGCTGCCGTCGGCTTGGGTACAGACAATGGTGTGAGGTCGCAAGAGACCACCGAGATGGTCATTATGGAGGATTAGATTCTCGCCATGAAGTGAAATTGCCAATCGCAGTGCTCTCTCGACTGTCACTGCGATGCAGGATAGCCCCAAGAGCATCGGCAAGAGCTCTGCTGGCAACATATCTACTCTCAATGGGCTTGAAAAATTTTTTCGCGCATCTACGCCGTTTTGACGTCGTTGTTTCACGGACGATATTACTGGCTGCATGTCGACGAAAGAATCACCCAATCAGCGATGGGCCAAAATCGCTGGATAACACGTGAAACCACATGCGCCGAAAACCGCCAGTGGGGGTGGAAAGTTCCCGGATACGCCGGTTTCGTTCTGCGGTAAAACCATTAAAACTGCCGTTTCTCGGAGCCCCCATCTAGCTTGGCCCCACTTTATCAGACACGGCTCCTTTAGGACGAATTTAATTTACGAGCTGCAATAATACACAGCACTTCAATATTGAGATGCGCGTATCCTTGCGGAGAACTCCGTACGTAGTATGTAGATGCTTGGACATTGTTGCATTGTACGTTTATGGATTTTGTAAATACTTCATCAGCCACTCGTATGTCGCCCACTTGGAATGGATCGTTAGCAATGCGTTACACTATTTCAAACCCGGGTTGACATACCTGAACAGCATTGACTATGAAGGCTCTCACACTACAAACTCCTAGGCCGCGATAAAACGCTTTGAGTCCTTCATTGCGGTACGCTTCTTTGGCAATCTGGATGGAGCTTGCGGTGTATGGCTTAGCTGAAGGCTGCATCAAGGGGCGATGTTCAGGGGACAATTCAATCGTTCTCGCCTGCAGTCTTGTCTTGATCACATCTAGAGGGAAGACAGAGGCCCAGGTAACAATCCCAGCAATGCCACCGCATAATAAGACTTTCGTAGCAGTCATGGTCGCATCATCGTCATTAGAGGCCGTAAGCCGCTTGCAGTATTCATAAGACCAAAAGCTGCAAGAAAGGATGTAGGTCAATACTCTGTGAAGAGCCTCATTGAAATCGCGGGGGAAGATCCGGGGAAAGGATTCACATACTAAAACCCATAGCCAATTGCGTCTCTCGCACAAGTGACCCCTCCTCCGAAATAAAGGCCCGTCCAGCCGCGTGTTCGGACAATGTCTTTCGCAATCGTCCATGACGACACCCCGGGGCGTGAGTCAAGCTGGGCCCTACATTTGATGAACTCCGTCGGAGATGACACAGTCCAGCTGGCCACCCCACCTGCAGCACCGGCAAGCCAGATCTTACTTAAGGAGACACCTTGTGGGTTTGTAGGGTCAATGATTGAACTATCCAGGAACTTCAGTGATCGGTTATAAGCCACAAAGAGTAGTGCATTGAGGGCCCCATATCCGAGGATTGGGGCAGCGGCGCCTGATGAAACGGTTAATACTAGACGCGTAATTTACATCATCGGAATATTTGCAAACCTCGAACCAGGGAAGTAGCGCTATCAAAGCGACTCAATTGCTGGGGTGTGGTTGATGCGGCGATATCTGGAGTGCGTCCTGCCTGCAACCGCACTTTGATGACATCGAGGGGATTGCCGATGATGATTCCAATGGCACCGCTAATGTAGCCAGCCCAGAAATCGGAAGACATGGGCCGAGGGGCCAGTGCTGAATGAACGATTCAGCAGCAAATGGTGATAATGAGCATTGTGACTATGGTAGGAACAACCTGGTTATTATCATTCGACGGGCTGAGGTTCCATTGACTAAACGGTCCCACCTCAAGAAGGCGAACCGGACGCTATACTGAAAGGGCTATAGTAAAAACTTTCCATCCATCCGGCCTCCTACTCTTGCTTGCAGGTCCAATAGCATTGTGCTTTTTTGATGTTGAGCAAACTGCATTTTCAAGTGCTTTAGACAGAATACAGTACTATCTTGAGATGAGTGCTACTAGTGCGGAAAAAGAAATGTGTGTGTCATGCAGTAGGGCTGCAGAGGTTCATGCCAAGACTATATATATTATGCAGATCATGCAGCATCATGTATTGTCAATGCTATCTGGGCAAAACTCCAGAAGTGGCCGAACATCCCTGGCAGTAGCACTAGTATGTCCTCTATATAATCAATCGTTTTTAGTCGAGCTAGGTTTATGTAGAGAATGCTTGAAGGTTCCATTTCCTTGGATGCATCATTCAAGTGCCGCTTCGCTAACCGGACGTTGTGTTCAAGGCCATGGCACGTACACATGCTGTTAAATAAGCCGAGATCCGGATATAGTGTGATCTAAGAATTACTTAAGTACTAAATAATATATTTCATCAAAGGACTTGGCTCAAAGTGGATTTGCCTAGCGAGATACCTCTATGAGCCGGCTACTCCATACAATTGCCATGAACAATCACGTGACAGCGTGATATTTTGGTGTTGCCAACAAGATGCGGGAGACGCGCTAGGCAGTGGCAAACACGCGTCGAGTTCGGCCGGTCATTATTGACAACCACAACCGCCAACTGACACGATCCTAGCCAGCCACGAGTATTTGATAGAGAAGTGCTAATGTAAGATCAATAATGACTTCCTCGGATTTATCCCGCAGCACAAGCTTACGTATTCAGGTACCGGCCACGGCCAGTCGTAAACCAAGATGGTGCAGGCACACCGTCCAAGCCGCTGCAGGCCAGCTCCACGAACAGCGTCGACCGTCTATCGAAACCCTTCAAATGTCCAGGTCTAGCCACGGCTACAAGGGCGTCAGACAAGCCAGCGAGGAAGCGTAGGAAGGTGAACTATGCAGGGGCCGATGGCACGGTGGACGACGACAGCGTCAAGCCTTATACAAACGAGGACCGCTTAGCGCTAGCAACAAGAGATGCGAACAGGTTTCCTAGCTTCAAGGTCAAGGACAAAGAGATGACTTTCAGACAAAGATTTAAGATTCCTCTGATCAATAAGTCGTCTGATGCCTATAATAGCTCTAGGCCAGCGCCTACGCTTGGTATGAGGCAAGGCGCTACATTTGTTGTGAAGCCATTGCATGATCCGAGCGGGGAGTTTGCTATAGTGCTATATGATCCAACAGTCGATGATGTCAATGAGCCAGAATCGAAGGAAGAGGCCACGGTCGATGCCGAGGAGCAGAAGCCAAAATTGGATGAGCCATTGGTACACAAGAGCTTGGCAGATATTCTTGGGCTCAAGAAGAAGACTGAAGGGCGACCGAAGGTCCCGGTTGTTATAGATCCACGGCTGGCGAAAGTGCTACGACCTCACCAGGTTGAGGGTGTCAAGGTTAGCATTCGCTTCGCACAGGCCTTGTTGCTATGTACTAATGCTCCGAGAAAAGTTTCTTTATCGTTGTACAACTGGCATGGTTGACAAGAATGCGAATGGTTGCATCATGGCAGATGGGATGGGTCTGGGCAAGACGGTGAGCTGAACATCCCGTGACACGGAACAGAAGACTAATGGTGCTGATAGCTTCAATGTATCTCATTGATGTGGACTCTACTCAAGCAGTCCCCGGAAGCGGGAGTAACAACCATACAGAAGTGCATCATCGCTTGCCCGTCAAGTTTGGTCGGAAATTGGGCCAATGAACTTGGTGAGTTGGCTTCGCTACTGGATCACACATCTGCTAACAGTTGCAGTGAAATGGTTGGGCAAGGATGCCATCACACCATTTGCGGTCGACGGTAAAGCCTCGAAGACGGAGCTCATCAGTCAGATGAAACAATGGGCCATTGCTTCGGGTCGGTCTATTGTCAGACCAGTACTCATTATATCATATGAAACACTCCGGTTATACGTCGATACACTGAGGGACAGTCCCATCGGCCTACTTCTTTGTGACGAAGGGCATCGATTGAAGAACAAGGAGAGTTTGACATGGACAGCGCTCAACGGCCTGAATGTACAGCGTCGAGTAATCTTGTCCGGCACTCCCATTCAGAACGATCTCTCGGAATACTTTGCTCTTCTCCATTTTGCGAACCCTAATCTACTGGGGTCGCAGAATGAGTTCCGGAAAAGGTTTGAGTTGCCTATTCTCAGAGGAAGAGATGCCGCAGGAACCGAAGAAGACCTCAAGAAGGGTGATGAGCGTCTTGCAGAACTCTCCAGCATCGTAAACAAGTTTATCATACGACGCACGAACGACATTTTGTCAAAGTACTTGCCCGTCAAGTACGAACATGTTGTTTTCTGCAACATGTCCGAATTCCAACTGGGCCTCTATAAGCATTTCATTCAGAGTCCCGAAATCAAAAGCTTACTCCGCGGAAAGGGAAGTCAGCCCTTGAAGGCAATCGGCCTTCTAAAGAAACTTTGCAACCACCCGGACCTCCTTAATCTCTCTAATGACCTTCCGGGTTGCGAGTACACCTTCCCGGAGGACTATGTCCCACCGGAAGCACGAGGGCGTGATAGAGATATCAAGTCTTGGTATTCAGGAAAGATGATGGTCTTGGATCGAATGCTAGCGCGTATTCGCCAGGATACTAATGACAAGATTGTTTTGATTAGCAACTACACCCAGACCCTCGACCTGTTCGAGAAGCTGTGCAGAACCCGTGGGTACGGCTCCTTGCGATTAGACGGAACCATGACGGTTGGGAAACGACAGAAGCTGGTTGATAAATTCAATAATCCCGATGGGGAAGAGTTTGTCTTCCTGTTGAGCAGCAAGGCCGGTGGCTGCGGCCTGAACTTAATAGGTGCAAACCGCCTTGTTCTTTTTGATCCCGATTGGAATCCAGCTGCCGACCAGCAAGCTTTGGCACGAGTATGGCGTGATGGCCAGAAGAAGGATTGTTTTGTCTACCGCTTCATCGCGACTGGATCAATCGAGGAGAAGATCTTCCAGCGCCAGTCTCATAAACAGTCGCTTTCTTCGTGCGTCGTGGATTCGGCGGAGGACGTCGAGCGACACTTCTCGCTGGAATCCCTCCGAGAGCTTTTCCAATTCAAACCGGAAACGCGGAGCGATACGCATGACACGTTCAAATGCAAGCGATGCCGACCAGAGGGAACACAATACATCAAGGCGCCAGCCATGTTGTACGG